ATAAATTGGCGATGTCTTTTATTCATACTATAGTTTACAATAGAATTTAGTGATTCACTTGTGTGAATAATGTAAACTTTTCCAACATAATTTTCCTGGATGCAGTTTTCCTTAATTTATTGTGATACCAAATGACAAACTAAACTAAAATAAGCTTACCACGAAATATAAAGTATAAAATTGTGTATATAATATGAATGAAATAGTGATACATGTTGACACTCAAAGGAATTCCCCACCCTCCAAAAAATGCCAGTAAATGTAGATGTTCACAACAAAAATATCAGATAATAAATTTTTCTTCAGAAGTCAATGAAATAAAGACACAGTTTATTTAGATTTTAATGACTATAGCAGATTCTGTCAACCGTGTACTCTCTTGAAATCTGTTTGGCCATTGGCTGAATTTAAAATTCAAAAATTCAGTGTATAACAACTTTAGTATTAACAAGAAACTGAAGAGAATGGTGGTGTTATTTCACAGAGTCGATTAAAGATAGAAAGATAAGTATACTTTATTACTTTCTTAACAATAATATTAAATTACTTTAATTAGATAAGATTTATGTGATTTTGTTATTTAACTTTATTACCTATTCTTTTCCCTATATTTCAGTTTTACCAAGAAAAGAACTTTTCATGGTTCCGGCTGGTGAATCATCAACAGAATTCAGATTAATCCATGAGAGAAAAAAATGAGCTTATCAATTTAGAAGAATCCATGAGAGAAAAATAAGCTTATCAATTTAGAAGAAATCATGGGCCAACTATATTTATTCCCAAAATAAGATTTAATAAAAAAAAGTCTATAGAATTCTATAGTACCCATTCCTACAGAAAACTATAGTGGCCCAATTTCCAAACTACAGAATACTACAGTATTCAATCCTATACATAACTGTAGAATTTCCTACAGAAAGTGCAATAAAAAACCTATAGAATACTATATTATTTTCCTATAGAAATTTTGCCATAAATCTGTAGGAAAAACTATAGGATGTAGAATATTTGGGGCCGTTATTTCCTACAGGCCCCCAAAATTCTGTAGAATACTATAGAATTTTATCCTATAGAACACGGGACACGCCCCCCAAAAAACTCTATAGATTTTCTATAGAATTCTACACTGCTATTCTGTAGGACTTTTTGCTAAGGGTTATATAGGCCCTAGGCCTAATTATGACTATAAATAATTAATTATACTGAATATTCCACATCCATTGTTGTTCAATTCCACTGTGTGGATTCATATACTAACTTAGTGTCATCATGTGCAAATTCTCATGTGCTGTATAAAAACAATGAAAACTATGGTGTTCTATTTCGGCCACTTCCCGCGTCGCCCTTGGAAAAAGGCGACGCGCGACGCAAAATCCGTGTCGTGCGTCGCTCTTTTTTAATGTTAAGCTATAGAGAACAAATAGCGACGCCGGCTTTTTAACAAAACGTCGCCCTTTGCGGCGCGTCGCCTTTTCTAAACGGATACAATTTTTTGGGTGATGAAATGCGCATGCACCAGGAGAATTCATTTGCAGTTTATTATTAGCCGTTTGGTATTTTATTATGTTCAATACATATTTGACACAAGGAACTGTCATTAATATCCTTTATATAACAATAATACATTCCTATAATACCCAGATTATGTGTTATGTTTTAAATCTCTATTCTAAACTTAAAATCGTAAAATCTGGCGTGAATGAGTGACCTCATGCTCTCCGCAGATACAGTCATTTATAGTTAAACACACGATGACAGGGTACTGATAACGTTGTGGGTACGGTTTCAGTTGTTTTATAGGTTTTCAAGTGTTGTATTACTTATAGTATGACACACATTCCTTGACATTTTTACAATCAGAATTAATACGAGAATATATTTTTTATATCCGAAGACAAATATATTAGCAAGGGGTGGGTGGGGTACTGAGTGGGGCATACGCCAGGGGACGGCTCTTCTTGGGGACTGGGGGGGGGGGGGGTAAGTAAAGTTATTACCTTGGAAGCTGAGATAACAAATCACCAGCCTTTGCTTCTCCTAAGCATGTGTAAACCAGGACATATTTCAGTAAATTGAGCGGTAGAATTATGATTTTTCCAAGATATGTTATAGGGGACATATTTCAGTAAATTAAGGGGTAGAATTATGATTTTTCCAAGATATATTATAGGGTTTTTCGATGAAACGGAGAGTTGATGGGGAAATAAATATAAAAAATTTAAAAAATAGTTATTTAAACAAGGTGTTAAAAGTATTAAAGATGATATTGTAAAATTTATTTGATCATCAAAATTCAGCTGAGCGAAGACACTGAACAAAGCAATTGCAGTATGCAATGGCGAGGTGTGTGTGTGGGGGGGGGGGCGTCACTGAACCATTTGCCCTGGGGCGCCACATAGGCTTGTGAAGGCCCTGCTAGTAGAAGCCTTTCGTTCCCATATCTCATTCAATCATTATAGACTGTGTGACTAGGTTAACTAGTGCAGAAGTGTACCTAATCTTGGATTCTTTCAACATCGATCTTAATCTAATTTCTTTAGGCTTGCTAATATATTCGTCGTAGGATATCCACAATAAAAATATCAGTACGCTTTCATATAACTATAATATATTACTGTACCTACAGAGAGCACTAGGTCACTCTTTCACATAAGTGTTTAACATTTTAAATTTAGAACAAAGATTTAAAATATAATCTCTATATTATATAGTCTATATATATATATATATATATTAATCTCTATATATTATAGAAATGCCTTGTTATATAAAGGATATTATTGGCGGTTCCTTAAGTGTCCAGCATAAATCAATGTATTGAAGATAAAATACCAAACTGCAAATGAAACTCCTGGTACATGCGCATTTCAACACAAAAAATGTAAAGAATATCTGTTCAGAAAAGGAGATGCGTCGCCTTTTTTTCTCTATAGCTTAACATTGAAAAAGGGCGACACAGATTTTGTGTCGCACGAAGTGGCCGAAATAGAACACCGTAGAAAACAGTGGGAAAGGAATTATTTATAAATCATCTCCGACGTCAACTCTTTCCAATAATTTGAAAAAGGCAGTGTAAGCTTATATTTTTGCCGTTCGACGGTTCTTTACTTTATTTACTATTTAGCCGTCACTTCCGTTTGACATGCGCAGTTGTCTGATTCCTGGACTTAGCAGTTTTCGCTTTGGCAATGATGCCGGCTCTTTCAACTCGTGGGCTATTTTACCGTCTAACATTAACTAGGTATGTGACTAAAAAAATTAAATTTATGGAAATTTAATAAAACTGTCATCATTGGAAAGGGCGTGGAATATGCATTACTGTGGTGTTTAAATTTTGGTTCTACTCCAAATCGCAAAAAAGTTACATCATTTTGAAAATTGGAAAATCGGGTCAATATTGACCCTTTGTTTTAATTAGAAAACAAAGACATGAGTGTGATCACTTTTCGGAGGAAAACAACAAAGCACGCACTTTAAAACATCACAGTTCCCTCAAAAGTAAACAGATATCAATGACATTGGCATCGTTGGAGAGCTATTTGAAATCACAATAAAATTACAATTTTTCCGGAGCAGATAAATCAACTTCGAAATATTCCATACCCACAGATATAATGCATCAATACAATTACTATAGTACCAAACTATGAAAAAGAGGGACCTTACCTTTGAACGTGTCTAAATTTGTCAATCTTTAGAGCTAATAAACTTCAAAATCTCGTAACTCTGTCAATCCTGCATGGATTTTAAAAAACCTAGAACGAGGCTCTTCCGGGATTCCCTTTACGTCAAAACGTTCATTTGAATATTCATAAGGACACACAAACCAATCACAGCGACTGTTTCAATGCACCTCCCGTGGAACTTCCGTGAATATAGCGTCACAGTTATCGCGTCACGTCATTCAGTCTAGATCAGCGCTGGCGAATCACGTGCCTACATTAACACATAACCTAAACCACCAGGCAGTTCTATTAGTCCTTTGTCTAACATTGCTTCTTTCTCTGTTTCTTATATGGAAGCAAATAGCCATACTTAATTTCTGATGGTAGAAACTGGAGAATTATTTTTAAAAGAAAGTAAGATAATAAATGTAAATTGTAGAAAAGCATTTAGAATATTCTATTTTGGTCGAGGGCACATTTCTGCGGATTTTGGTTTTTAATTTAAGTACTTAAACTGTCAGTGGTTTATGTTTTTCCCGTAAAATCGTGCTTCTGCACCGAACTTGAAAGACGGGTTGTTTTTAATGTTCCAAAATGGTGGAATATGTCTGGAATCGACAACTGCGCATGTCGAACGGAAGTACGGCTAAATAGTAAATAAAGTAAAGAACCGTCGGACGGCAAAATATACACTTCGTTTGAAAAAAGTGACAATTACCTTCTACAATAAATACAATATTAAGCTTCATATTCAAGGAAGGGACAGTTCTGCGTGGGTGGACACCAATATATTTCAAATTAAACCGAACCTTAAAAGTATTAATACTAACAATAGTGCCAAGTGATAGCCTACCTTCCGTGCTGTCTCTTGTAGGGCTGGCAATCGATCCTGTTTCAAGTATCGATTATCGCGGACCATCCGCCGATCAATAATCGATAATATCGGCAAATTATTTTGACTTACAATTGTTGAATTGGTTTGAAAACAATCATAATTTGTACACGAATTATATGCGAGTTTATGCTGTGATATCATTCTGTATACATGTAGAATTTTTTTTTTTTCGTTAATTTGACATTTGACAATAAAATAATAGCATTCCATCGCAAAACCAAGGTGTAGAAAGAAACTCAATCAACTTCATTTGGAAGACAGATTCCGCCACCGCTCGCCATATCTTTGTCGCTTATGACCTGAATAATACTGAGTAAAATGTAGTTATTTCCCTTTGATCACATCAAACGAATTCTTCAGTTTATTTCTTGCAGTGATTTCTTCGCACTGAGGAAATTAAAAATCTCCTCTTCAGACATTTCTTCGCAAATTTCTTAATAAATTAATAAATTTTATAAAGGGAAAGTACGTGTTTGACTTAGAAACAGAGAAAACGAAAGAACTGAAGAGTTAAAATAAGGGACACAAGTTGTGTCACACAACTGGATGTTACGTGAAACCATTGGCTCTCATCATGACATAAGCGGCCAACATTTCTCACCGGTTGCGTCTCGCGTGAAAAAAAACAAACAACAAACGTGTGTGTTTTATTATGACTATTCTGTTTAATTACAGTTCTAGGTCCAAGCACGCGTTGCAAAGAATACAGTGATAAGGATTATTTTTATGGACTTCTTCTTGCAAGTCAAGTACCTATAATTGCGCGATAATCGATATTTTAAAACTGTATCGTTAATCGATTTTCAAAACACTTACTGACGATGATTATCGGCAATTAACGATAATTTCCGCCAGCCCTAGTCTCTTGTAAATTTATGTCAACAACCCGTTACGAGCACGCCATTAAAGGGAAAGGGAAACAACAATTTACTAGAAGATACTCAGCCACTAATTCCGGGCCCTGTTACTACTGTAAGTGTTATATCAAACAATATACATGAACTGAACTATTCGAACGGACTTTCTGAAATATCAACCGAATTACATTGCTTTCTGATAAAGTCAATGCTCTAATATCGGCACAAAATAAACTTATTGGAAATTCATCTACATGTAGGCCTACATCAAATGCAGTAATAAAAACATTTAATGACAAATCAACAAGTACATCAAATATAGTAAAAACAGTTAATGACAAATCAACAAGTACCTGCAGTTCAGCAATTCAAGATAAGTCTACCAACACATCTATCTATACCGCGGCTAAATGTGTATCAACTAGTGTTGATAATAATAACAATAGGCCTATTACTGATGTATGTATTTCTACCGGTGCAAAATCAACAATAAATTCGACCAACTCAACTACTAGTAAAAGTTCAACGAGATTTCTAGAAAAACCTATACTTTTCAACTTTAGTAAAGCTAAAACACTGTTAATAGGAAGTTCAGTTACAGCTGGTATTAAAACACCTAACATTACAAAATTATTTGATCAAGAATGCGTAGTTGACACCATTCGTGGGGCCTACTATACTAATATAAATGATAGACCTGTGCAACTTTTAAATTGTAAGCACTCTCTTAAAAACATCATTATATATGCTTTGGGGAATGATATTTCATTAAACAATCCCACTCAAAACACCACAGACTTTAATAAACTAATTTCAGTCACCAAAAATTCTTTTAAAGGAAATATTTATATTTGTTCGGCATTGCCAAGAAATATACATTGTCCATATATTAGAGAATGTAAAAAATTTAATACTTATATCCAGGAGTTCTGTTTATTTATGTATTTACACACTTCTACCAAAGATGTCCAAAGGATGTAATGAAATGTGACGGAGTTCATCCTAATTATAATGGAAATGATCTATTAATGAATATTTTAAGTAATACTATTGTTTCAGCTAATTCAACTGATGCGCATGAACATGTACCTGTTAAATCAATAAATTACTATGAATACTATGACATAAAAGATCTCGCCAATATGAGTACAGGTGTAATGTATATAACAATAGACCATTGCACAATCCTTATTACTTCCCGCAATATAACTCTTCCCCATATCATAATTTTATTCTTAAGCTAAGCTTGTTAATTCATAATTGCCTGTACTGTACCTTGGCAGTAACCCAAATCAAACTTTCATTATTCAATGACTTTTCCATTTTCTCATTAGAAAGTTTTTCAGGTAATTGTGTGTCCTTATTTCCAGTCATTTATTAATTTGTTTATTTATGATTATTATGAATACTGTTTTAGTTAAGAAAGGTCTACATATTGCTCATCTAAATGTATGTCATGTTAAGAAAATTTTTTTTGAACTAGGTGTTTTCCTTCAAAATTTTGATATATTTGGACTTTCTGAGTCACATTTAGATATATCTGTGACTAATGAAGATATTTCAATCCCAAACTTTCAACAACCTTTTAGGAAAGATTCTTGTAATGTAAGTTCCTCTGGAACACTTCTGTATGTTAGAAATCATATATGTAATCGTAGGTTAGATTTAGAACATGATAATATTGAGGCTATATGGATAGATATTACTTAGAATTGACCTTAAAAGTGGTATCTCGTTAGCGTTTTCGTTCATTACCTATTTCGTCATTCTATATATTAAATTAAGATGGTACTTCATCAGAAGATTCAAAATCAATGTTCATAATATGAGCGGGATAAATATTCTCTTGGTTGCTGACCAACAACTCGTTTATATCCTTTGGATATGGTTCAGATACCCATTCACATTAATCAATCGGCGTTGACGTTTCTATGGGTTTACCTACAGTTCCGTGCAGGACACGCCAAGAACTCGCCATAAACCTTTTATTGGCTAATTCCTGACATCAACTAGACCGCCTGCTGTATAACAACTCTTCCAGATCCTAGTGTTGTGAAGACAATCAAAGACAAGCTGGGAAAAATTTAAGGTATAGGTGCTATCCAGTGGATCAAATTAGATGGAAATGTGCCGGAGACAAATGCCGATTTGCTGGACAAAGCTGAATCAGAACTGCAGGCAGGAATGTGAAGACAAAACTCTCACTGGGGTATGGTAGAGTAGAGGCTACTTACTACTTCTCACATTCCACGTTACCAACGTTAACAAAACTGTGTATGAAACATTATCACGATTCCTAAATTGTTGAAGAAAGTGATGTTTAGAAACAAGCAGCAAAAAAAATAAAAGAGAAAGAGAATAAAATAATAGGTCTGGTTAATTTGTTTAAGGGGGTCGGATCATATCTTGACATTTTCCCCATTTTCTTGCAAATGCAAGCTGATGAAGATATTCTCCTAAATGCATGACAACCCAGACCAAGGACTACTCCGCCCAAGACCACTCAGACCAATAGAGAAGTCCACTCAGTCAAAGACAGAAAGACCACTATGGTTAAGACTGTGTCACCATTATCAGGTGAAATACAATGTGCAGTACTCATACCTAAGTTGTTATGGAGAGAGAGAAATTGGGTTTAACGTCTACTCGACACAAACTAGGACATTTTGGGACTAACATATGGTTTAATTTTTTTTATTTCAATAATTCGCTTGCGCGAAGGGGTCTTTAACAGTGGGAGGAAACGGGAGGACCCAGAGAAAACCCACGAGGTTGGACAGACGACCCTACTCCTTGTCACGTACAACAGGGGATTCGAAACCACGCCTGTTGACTCAATGACAGGCCTTATGATACAATTCGGCCATCCAACCCCCATGTTATGGAGAAAAGTAGAACCGAAATAGATAAGTGCACTTACTTTTTTTGAAAAAAATATGAATGAAGAATTATTTCTGCCCTTGCATCACCAGTTAAAAAGGGGGCATATTCTGGCGCATTCCTCCCTGGTTGCCTGATTGTAGCTGTGGAAATTTAAACCCCTCTTGTTAAACTCTATTGAACAAATGACAGGGTTAGGGTGACTAGAGATCAAGCACCAAACTAAATTTTCAATGTGAATGTAAATCAAGCTGCTTTACACTTTTACAGATAGATCAGTAATAGATGTACTTCTTACAAGTGAAAACTTTCTTGTATGGTTTTGTGTATATTGTTTGAATATAAAAGTGACAGCCAAACATATGCTGACAGTGACATTGATTTTAATAGTGATGATATTGATGAAATTATGTGAGCAGGCCTACACCTGTATACATGTATTTTTGTAAGCGGTTTTTAAATATTACATATTTTAAATATGTTTTACTTCAATGTACTGTACATGTCAATAAATTTTCATATTATATTTATGCTTATTATATGTTTTTATTTTACTTTTTTTATTCTAATTCATTTCCGACGGTTTTCCCTTGTCTGTGGTGCAGGCGGAGGGGCTGACAAGGCACGAGGACAGCAGTCTAGTCCAGGTCCTGTGTATACATTGGTGTGCACGTAAAAAGATCCATTGGCAGTTGTAATTTGATATAAATGTAGGCCATAGTGCTGTGCCCAGGCAAAATTTGCCTTATAGCACACTGTATGGCGTATATGCCCATCTTCATTAAACCATTTCATTTCTAATTCATTTTACTAGAACCATTTTACTTAGGTAATTACTGTTTGTTTTTATATGCCCACATTTTCATGTGGATGTATTACATGTATGCCGTCGCCCCTGTCCGTCCATCCGTCCACAATTGTTTGTGGACCCTCTACAATCGGCCCAAAACTGACAGACAAAATGGCCGCCCTTTGTTCTCAAATAGCGTAAAGATATGGTATATCAAGGTTGTGGATCCTATGGAGGTCACAATTTTTATCCAATTTTGTTGAAACTTGAAATGTAAGTTTATAACACAAAGATCTCGGTTCCTTTCGATATTTGCGCATATTGAATTGTAATTTCCTGAATTATGGCCCTTGATTGTAGGAAAAATCACTTTCTTTTTAGCTTGTTCTCTATCCATCTCTCGAAAATGTGGGCGTATCCTGCCTGGCAGCCGCTGGTTCTCTTATATGTACTTTTATTTACTGGTTGGTATATATCTTTCAATTTTGTACAGTGTATATGGGCACAAGACCTGATCTCTGTGTAAATACATGTATTCTGTGAATATAAGAACCTGAACAGCACATTAGAAACCGTTCTCCAGTATTAGAAACCGTTCTCCAGTATTAATACACTTTAAAAAATGATGATGTTATTATTATTATTATATACATTTTTCATTAATACTAGTGGTGTATGGTATTGTTGTGTACGAGGAAATTTATATAATTGCATTTGTTTATTTTTTTTAATTTCTTTCTTTAAATAAATGTAATCTTATACTCTCTTATAGGGGGTTGGGTAGCCGAATGGGTAGCATATGCGCGCTGTATCATAAGGTCTGTCATTGAGTCCACTGGCGTGGTTTAGATTCCACGGTTGTACTTGACAAGGAGAAGGCCGGTTGCCTGTCCAACCTCATGTGTTTTCTCCGGGTCCTCCGGTTTCCTCCCACTGCTAAAGACCACTACACGCAAGCGAATTATTGGAATAAAATTGAACCAAAATTACCTAGTTTGTGTCGAGTGGAAGTTAAACCCCATTTCTCTCTCTCTATTACTCTTATAATAAGTCTATTGTTTTCTTTTTTATAAAACTAGTAAAATTAATGAAGGTGAATTATTATTAATTGTATCGATCAGATCACATGGTATTATTATTTTTGTTTTTTCTTAACATTATATATAATTATAAGACCGAACCAGTATTTCAGGCATGCCAAAATCGTTTTCATCTGTATTAAGTATATATTTCTCTTGGATATTGTTTCACTGAAATAGTTTTGAAAAAATACTTGTTTCCAGAAAATAAAAGATTCATTCAATCATTGGTGCTATTTCCCAATTATTGGCCATATTTATGCCACAGATTAGGGGTAAGTCGGCTTTACCGTGTCAATGCAACATTTAATAGGTGGTATTATCCAGTAATCCCGGCATATTTGCAGAGAAATTCGCTCAGACAAA